TCCGTCTCCCCTCTGCCATTATTTCACTTGCCCAGTCTGGCAACACTGCCGAAACACGCACGAATCAGTTTAGGCTTAGCCTCTCACCGAATAAGTCTATCTCGAGCAAATCACCTGTAGCCGTCGTATAGTATCCATTCGTATTTCAACGAGTTCACATCAACTAAGTAGTAGTCTCTCAACTAGTTCACAAGTATTAAGTAGAACTCAACGAGTAATTCAACGTGTAATAATTCATCGAATAGTTATTAACGAGTATTAATCAACATTAGTAAGAGTTCATATCGAGAAGTCGATTCAGTCAATTACCATTCAAAATTGAATACCTTTATTCAGCACATCACCTCTGTTGATTAAATTCAGTTTAAATTCAGTGACTCACCAAATTAACGTGCAAAGACAATCATCAGTGACATTCGACTATCACCAATGAAATTACATATTACCAAAGAGTGTACATAAGTTTTGACAAAGTGGTCGATCCCACAAAATAAAGTGTGATTTTTAAAATCCAGCTCATCAGTAATTTTCCCAACAGCTCCCTCCACATTTTCATCCTACATCCACCCTAAATCTAGTCATTCACCAAACAAATCTTGTTTGTAACTCTTGATCGGTTCTACAAAAAAGGTTCTATAAAAAAAATGGTATCTGCATTAGATTCCGAGATATCAATTGAAAACTAATCAATTCCAAAATTGGCCTGAACCGTTTTGCTGCTACGCTACTGAAGTGAAACACAAGTCCAATTTCTATTTGTACCAAATTTGAGTTCAAAAAGCTCCAATGAAATTTTGGTAACGACCTATTTGTGACTCTCGATTCGCTCTACGAAAAAGGTTATGAGAAAACAATGGATATCTGCGTTAGATTCCGAGATATTCATTGAAAACTGACACATAATAAAATCGGCTTAAATCGTTTTACCGTTCCCCTATTGGAATGGAACGCAGATTATGATGGAATCCTGAAGCTAAGTAGATTCCTATGTAAATTTTCTTTTTCAACAAATTCAGGTTCAGGAAACCTCGAAGGAATCGAATGAATCAAACAATATGGCTCAATTAGAGGGCAAACCTTGATTCTCAGAAATTAATAATTTCAAATTATGGATTGATTTTTTCCATTAAAATTCCCAAGTTGGCTTCATACTTTTTCGTGAAAATCAGGCAAGCTCAGCAAATGAGGGAACCAGCGAAATTATCAGGAGAGTTAAATTATCAGAAGTTTCAAATGGAAGGGATGAGCAAAATGATTGAGCGCGATGAGCCATTGGACTGAATATATAATCAGAATAGTCGAATCTGAAATGACTCCTATCGAAGTCTTTCCTTAACATTTTGATTTCCCCAATTTTAATCAACTGACAAGTGGACGTTAATTCTACTTAGTTCCCTAATTTCCGATAACTGAATATTATTTTTTATCCACTATTCACCAGGAGATATTAAGGTTTTGATTACGAATTTGATAACATCAAATGTGTGTTTGATCTGCTCAATTCTCGTGACGATTTGCATAATACTTTCTGTCCACAACCTGCGTGGCCTCTTCTCTTCTCGATTCAATTTCTCAGGAGTGAAAGATTTGTGGTATTTTTGTACTTTTGGGACCCGCCACGGATTTTTAATTTTATGTATGGATTACCAGATATGTTTCATGGTAGAGATGACACATGATGTTTGATGCTTATTCAATTGATTTCCTTGGAGCCTTCCGAATTCAATTTTGACAAAAATCGGAATTCAAATGGGACTTTTATTCTGACTCGGAATACCATCATACTTTGTGTTCCATTTCAGTAGCATAGCAGCAAAACGGTTCAAGCGAAATTTGGTATTGGTTAGTTTTCAATGAAGATCTCGGAATGTAAGACAGATACCAATTTTTTTCTCATAATCTTTGTTGTAAAGCGAATCAAAAGTTACAAAAATTTTCCTATCTCTCTTAGATTCGGAGATATTGCCTGGAAACTCAGCTAAGAACTCAGTCAACACAAATCGTTCTATTGCATTGGTAGCGATTTTGCCCAGCAGTTGCTCTCCTTCAAAAGTACAATGTGCCACAATACTAGATTGAATATAGTAATCAATTAACAGACCTGTAGGGCTGATTAATGGAAGGATTTCCACGAAAAAACGCAAAAATTTGCCGTTTTTATTTTTTTGAAATGCGTTGCAGGTGGAATTTTCGAACTGTTTTTTCTCTCAAAATATGGGGAATTGAGGCTAGAATCTCGTCAATTTTTGTCAAAGTGGTAGAAAAATCCTTACCTATGAGAATGATTTCTTTAAAAAAAGAAGTGTCGATAAAGAATATTATTTAACAATTAAAAATCCATTAAAAAATTTTCCCTTAAATACTGATTTTTTTTTATTTTTCAGAATTTTTTCAGATTTTTAAGTAGCTTTGAAGTACTCGAAAAAAAATAAAATCCAAAAACTGTTTTTTAAGCTTAAAAAAAATCAGGGGATCGATATAATGATCTGAAATTTTACACAGAATTGTTTTTTTAGGTGGTGAATAGATGAAAAAAATGCCGCCTTGAAATTCCCTGGGGGCAGATTCACCATGCTTATCCGGCTAGACCCTTTCACTGAAACTCCAGGAAAAGCCCAGAATTTTAGCTATCATGAAATTGAGAATTCGCCCTTTCATCAGATTTTTCCTAGAAATATGCATGTTCCGTTTTTTTTTTCTCAAAGCAAATTTAGGGTCGCGGTCATGAAAACTGGAGGATCAAGGTCTCACTGAGTTGTCATTGAAAATCTCATTTATGAATCACGAACTCCTGTGAAATTTCAGTGGCGTTCTACCCTGAGAAAATTTTTAGGGAAAATTAAAACAAAATTTTTTAACCGTGCATCATTTATTATTCTAGATTTTTTTATTTCGATGCAAGAAAAGGCACAGAAAGATGCGTCGCGACAAGGGAAGTATTGGGTTCCTCGAGTTCGAACAGTAGTGCACCCTGTGAAGGCACTGAAGTCCACTTGGAAAAAATTTAATGACGGTGAAAATGACGAAATTGGAGTTCTGAATGTGCCTCATTCTTCTTGAAAGAGTGCATGAATGACGTATTGACCTTCCCAGAGCTTCTCCCCCATGATTTTGATGTCCCCATTGGTGCTGGTGTGTACTCTCGAGGTAAGGCGAGGGTGATAAGTATGCGCGTAAACGTGTATTTTACCTACCGCGGTGAAAACGTTTCATTGCGTGCGCCGCGGCGGATAAAATAATCGATTAATTGCCTACCATTTCTAGTCCTACGAGAGGACGAGTTTGACAGGGTCACATCCGCCGAAGATACTCAAGACATCCTGTGGGAAACAAATCCTAATGCTAGAAGGTCGACTCTTCGACGAAGAGCCACGCAACGTCGCCTTTTGGTCACTAATGCCAGAAGAACCAATTCACCTCAGCCTCCTCCGGAAAATCCTCAGAATGGTAAACTTCGTTTTGAATGTATACGAATGCTGGTAACGTGTATTCTATACTTTAATGAAAGATGAGATACTTTATATAATACTGCAAAAAAAGGAATGTATGAATTTCAAATACTATTTGTATACATCTTTGAGACCCGCAGAAGTGTATGTATGCCAGGGTTAATGTGTCTCAATTCAAGACGAAAAGAAATTGAGTGTTTTTCAATACATCTTAAATTCACACATTTTACACAATTTTCAAATGCTTCTATGTTTCTGAAAGCTCTCAACAAAAGGTGTCTGAATTTTAAATTATTGAATGTTCCACTAAATGATTACGTGCTTACACCGACAACAAAATATGTCGGCAAAATAATATCTTCTCATTCCCAAAAAAAATTCTCACTGGTCTTAAGATTAGAAATTATGTTTTTCTTAGAAAATTATATAGATTGAGTTGTATCTCTAGATTTTTTTTCTAACATTGATGACTAAATATCTTGCATAAAGAGCACATTACTTAAAATCAATTGGCTATACTTGGAAGGATAATCAAAGTATTCATGGCATAATAGGAATACAAATTTCTTAACTGCAGATTATAACTGATTAGTGCAAGAAGTCGAAATTCTCATCATAAATTGATTTCTAGCAGTAATGGCCATTACTCAAAATTTGGGTACTTTGTACTTTGTTACCATCTAATCACTAAGTACCTCGATTACTTAGTACTTGGTCCCATCTAAGTTGGTATAGATTACTTGATACTAGGATGCTCAAATAATTTTCAAAAAAACAGGACGTCACAAAATTTACCTTGAGAAAGCCGGATAACCGAAAATTTTTATGAGACCAGTTTCAAGTTATTTAATAGACCTAATTTAGCCATCACTGATTTGTAGAATATAGCTGTGAAAAAAATACATTAATATATTAATAGAGGTATGCTACCCGCTGAAGACTCTCTTGAGATAAGATACACCTATCTCGTTGAACAAATTCTTTCTCTACATCTAAGAAGAAAATTATTCATTGGAGGATTTAACAAACATTGACAAGAAAATATTCACTTGCGTCAAACGAATTCTCTTTGACAAAAGAAGTACATGTTACATTCATAATTTTTTTTCCTTATTCAATGGACGTGCTTGGGTATAGTAAAGAATACATAACAAAATCGAAACAATTTCAGACTTAAACCATTTTGTCCCGTAAATCGCTCGAAAACTTAATTTTTCACATCATGTATCACGTATGTGTAATGAAATCCCTTAAATCGATATGACACGGAAATACCTGGCCGTCAGTCCTTTTAACGATGAACAATCTTGAAGTATTTTTTAATTACAATTTAAAAGGGAAAACTTAATGAAGTAAAAACAGTTCGCTTTGAGGTCTTCTCTTCATTTATTTGCTATGATCTAGGAATACCCTCCTTATCCATACTCTGTTTTTATTTTAGTCTACCAATGGAAACATTGAAATCGTTCAAATTTTTTAGAAACATTAAAAGAAATTACTTCCCTATTAATTTGGAAATAGATTTGGCTTCCAAATTTCTTCCGAAAATAATAGATCTGAATCATATTAACCATCAAGATATATTTGATCCCATATGACCCAATAGTATAAATAAGCTGATCTGATCAAACCTAAATCAATCGATCACATTAAACGATCCCAATGAAATTTGCTTTAGAATAGTGATCAACAAAAAAAAAACCGCAGGCAATTAATTCCTTTTACGTGTTTATATTCTGGTCAATCATTCGGAAGCCCATCATCAAGTAATTGATAGTATAGAAAATATTCAATTATACCTTTTAGAAATATCTTCACTGTTACGCATTGATTATCTTATGCAGACTGCTCCGCCTTTTATTGTAATGATAATCGATAAAATAATATTTTTTTTTTATGTACAGACGAGGAAATTTTCGAGATCCCCGAAGATGATTACAGTCAATTTCTTCGTGAAGAACGACTAGAGGTTGCTCACCACGAGCTCCCAACAGCTGAAGAAAGAGCAGCGATTATGGAAAGAGGGATAATTTGCAAAGGAATATAGGTGGCCAATGTGCGATCTGCCAGAGTGAGGAAGCGACAGTCACATTTATGCCCTGCAAGCACAAGGTGACATGTCAAGCATGTCATCTCCAGTTGAGAGAAAGGAGTGAAGGAAATTTTAATTGCCATGTGTGCCGCACATTGGTGCTCAACTCTGAATAAGAAGGAAATATGCCTTCGAAAGTCCTCAGAGTAAGCTGTCCTAAGGGTTAGTTGGATTGATTTGACTTCATTATTTTTGGTTAAGAAACAAAAACGTTGATATCGCTCCACGCTTGCAACACCCAACTTTTTACATGGTATCTTTTGACTCAGCGGATTATGTCACTCGCTTTTGGTTCATACTATAAACCATCCACGATTACACAATCACCTTCATGCAATTGTATTGAACATTATACTATTTCGTTTCATTCATTTTAGTGAAGATGTTTATAATTGGTTTTCTAATTTTTTTTTTGGACGGATTAAATAGGATAACCATTGTGATATTTTATGAATATCAATGGAATTATCCACTCACGTATGAAATTTTGTAATAGAAAACCCTAAAGAATTCTATAGGTATTTCTATAGACTTTCTGTAGAATTTTCTATACGTTTTTTGCCTTTTCTTTTAACGTGTTCGATAGGAAATTATATAGAAAAATGAATTTCTATTAACTTTTTTTTAATTTATATTTTTCTATTTAATATTCCTTATCGAATATGTCAATAGAAACGGCAAAAAACGTATAGAAAACCTAATAGAAGTTCTCTAGAAATTCCTATAGAATTCTTTACGATTTTCTATTAAAAATTTTCGTACGTGCTGTCTATATTGTGATTTCCTTTAATAAGACGTCAAAAATTGAGTGATATTAATTTTAAAAAATGGACGAAATTTGTTCATCAATTGAAACTTTTTCAAAAAAGGTTCAAATAATAATTTTTCAAAATGGTCAAAAATAGGGGTTGTAGGATTGTTTTTTTGTAGTCGTTCTGCGATCAACACTTTCTTCCGATTCCAAAATGCAATTACGATGGAATAATTACTATAATCGTAAACCCGCAAAAAAAGAATAGTATTCATTGAACGATGAAATAGAATGTATATGTAGTGGTATTTTTGAAGTCATGTGTGTGTCTGATTTAATGCAATAGCCCATGATGTTTGCGACATGTTGCTATTTCCATTGATGAAGAGATACACATGACTTGAATGATACTCTCGCTTTTTTACTACATACTTTCCATAATCATCGTCATAATAAAATCAAAAAACGTCCGAAAATACTTTTATATTCCTGGTCCCGGGGAAATAAAATATCGCATACCGCAGGGGAGTAAAGTATTTTCTCACTCATGTGATTACCATTCACATTTTGTCTGAAAATAGTTTACTCCCTAGGGGCACAATATAGTATTATCACCGGATGACATAATATACTGTTTTCATGAAAGCACGTAATTGTACTTTAGAATTCTGTTGACGAAAAGTATTTTTTGGCGAGTATGAATTTTATATAATGTATTTGTTTCATATATTTACATCTATACTTATAAGTCTATAGACTCGTTCAAAAGTACTTTGTATTATCTCGAAAATTCAAACTTTTATGATGCTACTCACAGAAAGAATTTTTTGCTCGCGAAACGCGCGAAGCGTGCAAACAAATTCTCTTTTCTTTTAATAATATCATAAAAGTGTTGTACGAGTTGTCGCGGATTCATATTCCGACTCGAAAGCAAGTGCTACAATGTCATGGCTTCTAAACTATTTCCTCACAACTATTGAATGATTTTTCGCACAAAAAGTTCAGTGCTCCGACACGAATACATAATAATCACCTACCACTCTTGTTTGAAAAGAACTGAATTTTAAAAAAATGATGTGATTGATATTCATATAAAAAAGTTACTAAATTATTTTTTAACTTGAATTAATTTATATGAATGCATTTACTAATAAAATATATCTATTTTCGAATTTGCTTCCTATATTTTTTATCACCTTTCCTTTCGAAAGTAATTTAGTGATGAATTTGTGTCGCTTTTTGTCAAGAATGGAAATTGCAAGACGTTAATTATTTCCCACAAATTCATTTACATTGTTAGAACTGAGGAAGGAATATTAAATCGAAAAATGTCAAAAGAAAAAAAAAAGTCAAAATTCATCAGTAATTCATCAGGATCCTTCAGTCTGATTTCATTTTCCTATCGAATTTGTTCTACTCAAATTTTGGAAGGTTATTTTATTTATTTTTTATTTTCTTCACTTCAAAAAAATATAATGAAAAACTTTGAAAATTTGAGTCGAAAACATTCATGCCCAATTTCATGCCATCAACCGAATGGTGACACGAACTCCAAAATATTTGTTTTGAGAATTTAGCAAATTTCAATCGACATTGGTATTGCCCAAATGGGTCCCTTTGATTATTATTATTCACATCCACCTAGAAAATAAATACATCGATGTGAAAGGTATTAGAGGCGGCTATTTCCTTGATGGAAATATTGGGGCAGGTGTTATTTCAGTTGTGAAATTGCGACGAGACGTTAAGTTTCTGATCACCCAGCTGAAGTTTCTATGTGCTTTACGTCCATTTTTAATTCGTCGTGATATTAAAAATATGTTTCATCACAGAGATGATGAAGAACACCTTATTCAAGACGGCAAATATATTTATTGGATTAAAAAAACAACAACGAACGGGGTCAGGTATTGTTCAAAGCTACATGATGTGCTAATAGTGTCATAATATAAGAGTAACTGTTATTGTTCACAGATATTTAGTATGTAAAGAGAATAAATCATGGAAACGATGCCCGGCCACTGCAATACGTACCCCCGAGGGTATTGTTATCGTGAGAAAAGGACATAGGTGTTCAATAAATAAGGAAAAGCACATGGTGTACAATTTTGAAAATGAATTAAAAAGGAAAGTAGCTGCAAGTCACGACGATATAAGGAGAATTTATGATGCAGTCGCTGTAAGGTACTTCTGTCGTCCATTTACAATAACACTACTATACGGCATCACAAAAAAAAGATAAGGTTTTCTAAAAACGAGTATTTTTTCAATTTTATTTTGACTCCATTGGAGCCATTAATGCTTACTCCCTCAACCATTTTCTATGTCCGAATCTTAGATTATCTTCTGAAATTGTTGCCCTATTGATGATGATTGATCGTAAAAACCAAGTAATGTTATTCAATTTTTTAAAAACCAAACAGTGCTTTATTAGGTGTTTTTTTTAAGGAGTTACAAGAATTAACATGAAATGAAAACATTAACTTATTTAGAATGGTTTGAAGTAGATAGCATATTTGTTCCTACAAAAAATTGTATTTCAACAAAAGTGTATGGGTGTAGTATTTCTTTTTTTTTAATTATTAAAAAATCTCTTCATACTAACTTTGATTGAACATTATTTTTAGCTGTCCACAAGGTAATGCTGTAGTACCCTTCGCGGAGGTAGAGCATAAAATGAAAGAGTGGCGGAAAAAGTCACGTCCACCTCAGCCATCTTGCTTATTGGCTTATGCGAATTTATTGAATAGCGACAGCTGGAAGAGGAAATATACACAATATAATGGATCGACTTGGACCGTGAATTGCATCATAGCTGCTGATGGGTCGAAATCTGTTGTATTTGGTGACTCAACTTTCGTGAATTCTTTACGAGCTGACGAATTTTATGTGGATGCTACTTTTAAAATATGTCCAAGGCGTTTAAAAATTCGACAGTTTCTCACTATCATGGCACGAGTCAACGGAGAGGTAATTTTGTTGTTTATTACACTAATGGGGAAAGATCCGGTTAATGTCCTTCATACACAATGAAAAATTATGAAGAAAAATTATCATTAAAAATTAATATAAAAAATCAATAATCAATAATATAGTTAGCCCTATAACAATTGAATTTCTGAAAAAAAAAATTGAAGTATTTCCTTTTTGAACGTTTCAAGTATATGGTGTCCATGCCACATATGGAACCCCGAGCGTGACCTACTGACCGATGTGACATATGAACCCAATCCGTGATTAATTAAAAATGATGATCTGTTATACTATACTATAGTACATATGAGAATTCCAAAAAATCCAACATGAAATGCATAAAATTATCAAGCCAATTCAAGAAATTCTTTTTTGAATTTCTATATTTATTCACGATGTAAAAAATTGACCAATTAAATCGCTAGCGGGAGGCCACCATCCGATGAGAACGGTTCGTAAGATCTGGCGTACAAGGGAGAGTTTAACCCCTCAGATCTCGGATCCATATACATAAAACGACCATCACCACGTGATGAAAAAGATCCTTATCTTGGGAAATATTGAAAATTTGTTCATCAGCCAAAAATAATCATAAAGGTAAATAGACATCACCCGGTCACATGTACAAATTATCGCACAAAAGCCCTGTCCTTGAAGAGGTACAAACAAATTGTAGAAGTTGTTTAGAAGACGGTGCATAATGTTGTCATGAAATGTGTCAATTTTTTTTTGGTCCTTACCAAAATTGAAAATAGAAAAAGATATGGAAATCCAATACCCAAATTAATTCTTACCTAACGGTCCGTGTCATGATTTTTTTTTACTTCCGAACAGGAAGTNGCATAATGTTGTCATGAAATGTGTCAATTTTTTTTTGGTCCTCACCAAAATTGAAAATAGAAAAAGATATGGAAATCCAATACCCAAATTAATTCTTACCTAACGGTCCGTGTCACGATTTTTTTTTACTTCCGAACAGGAAGCAAAGTAATCCGTTGTTCTTTTGATTTTTTCATTTTGTCTGTAAATATTGTAGAATGGTCTATACCTAGTTTCATTATGGCTGCCTGTGTGAGTAGGGTTCTTGGTTAACTTTACAGTCAACATTTACGAAATTGAACGAATAGACGGTTTACAAAAAAGCAGTTTTGTGACATTATACATATACTTATGCATATAGAATAACTAAGGCCACTCGTTTAGCTGAATAGGTTCAACCATTTTCGAGAAATTCCGCATTTTTTCAAAATTTCTTTACGCCATATTCTCGAGATCTATCTATACAATTTCAATTTGCATAATTCACAAATCGTCATCCCGAGGCCACATTCCTTGATCAAGCAAAACATATATAAT